CAACAGCGACAGTGCGCGGATTGAGGCTGCGTCAGCACATGCTACTGAGAAGCAGGAGGCAAAAAATGTGTTGATGGGTTAAGAAGTTGTTGTCCGAAGCAATTGGAGAGAGCATAAAAGATTGGTTTATAAACAGCCACGAGAAGTGGCGCGCTTGACTGTCATGCGACAACAAAAGAGGGACAAGTTGAGGATCAGAGTGCGAGGTCAAGGTGGAATATTGTGGTGGGCGGGAGTGAGGTGGAGGGAGGGCCCCCCGGTTAGGTTCCAGGCCAGTTTGAAGTCAGATGACGTCACACGGTAGGGGGAATACGCGGTGGGTCTTTCGTATCTCCGCGTCCTTTCCCCCACTCACTCCCCCTGTGGCGTCATCTGGCCTTAGACTGGTCTGCAATCCGGCCAGGGGGACCCTTCATTACGTAACGTGGGCTTTTCCTCGCCTATTTTCCTCCGACTCACTTTCAGGATGCATTTTCAAGTATTTCCTGCTCTGTGTGGCCTTCATCGTCCATAATCTCTGTTGTTTTATCTAATAACGTTTTAATTTACTTTATTAAATTAAATAATTTTAGGTGTTTTAATTTTTTAGGAAATCCTATTTTATATGCACTTCATATCTTTGCATTTGCTGATTTGACAGTGGAGCGAGACTCCTCGGTCTCGCTTCCCGATTCCTAGCGTTCCTAGACAAGCCCGGTTGGTTTGCTTTGGACATCTTTATTAAAGACGACAAGATGTATAGGGAAAATACAATATTCAAGAAGGAGGGGAGCCGTAGTAACTAGGTAAGGGAGAGGACGATCCCGTTACAAGGTTCGAATTTTCTGCTTGCCTCCTCCCTGAAAGGCACATTACAACAACATAAGTATTACATGACAGTATATCTCTTTTTATTTTGTCTACTAGTTTAATATTATTGTAGCGTCCCGAGACTCCTTTAAGACAAAAGAAGGCACATTACTCGGGCAGAATATATATATTCAGCACGGAGAAGGTGTCTGGGCTATTGGCATGGCCCAAAAGGCCAGCCCACCCAGCGAGGTACAAGGGGGCTAATCCGAAGTACAAAAGTGGCGCCTCACCAGAACCGAGGGATAAACCACTATCGTATTACATTATCGCCTTTGCTTTTTGATTTAAAAAATAAAAATTACTTTTGCATTTTTTATAATGTTTCAGCTTTAAAAATAAAATTTTATAACCTT